GCAGACGCTCTGCTACACCAATCTGTTGGGAACTATTGGGCACCGCGAACTCTTGCTTCACCTGGAATTCCATACAAAAACTCCTAAATGCATTTGACGATTACTCACCTCCATTGTCAGTTCGCAGGCAAAGCGCTGCTCCATGCTCAGTCACAAACTCCTGGAACTTCAGTAGAGCATCGCTCTTCTTCGCCAGGTACTTGACCCCAGCCAGCCGACTGAAGTCGCCGATGAAGCTCAAGGCATGGTTCGCACCATGCATACTCGGTACTTCAAATGGTCCCTGAATGTCACTGAAGACACTTTGCCCCGCTGCCTGTGCTCTGCTGTCAGTCTTCTTAGGCACTGTTACTTCATTCATCTTAGAAGCTGTACACAATTCGCAGAACTCTAGCTCGCCCACATTGACAAGCGATGAAAGATTTTGTCAAAAGAGTCATCGGGTTACTCTTGAACTTGCCCTCAAGGAAGAAAAGCTTGCCGCGCTGCTTCACAGGTAACTATCCCCCATCTGATGCCAGTTGATGTGAGGCATCTGCGGCGAAACTGAAGCTTGAGCCTCTAGCCACAGCTGAGCTCACACTCATCAAGTTGACACTTTAGCTCGGCACAAACAGCACATTGTGAAAATTCTAGCTCCTCACACCATCATGGCAGTCCATGATCTCCACTTCCACTGATCCTGTGCCCTCAATCTTTAACAGCGTGCCGTTTTGTTTCTCCACAGTTGTCGATTCGTTCCAGCTCTCAAAGCTGGAAAAGACAGCCCTGTCGCGCTCCACATAATCAGTGCATCCCTTATACACAATGAGGTCGTCTCCCTTCATTAAAGTTGCAGCGCAACAACTGAAGAACACTGTCTTCCCCTGCTCGGACTCCCTTGCATAAAGTCCATGTTGCCCACATTTGAAGCACTCTTGCTTCTTTGCTCCTGGCCCAATTGCCTCGTTCGACCCCACTGCCTCGAGCACTGGATTGTCCGCTGTCACTTGTGGATTTGCAGTCCTTCGCCATATGACCCTTCTGAGCGCACACATAGCATCCACTACTTGAACTCCTTTCTTCTTCCTCGCAGCTTGCATGGCTATAAGATCATATCCAGTCCTTTCTCCACATTGAGCCTTCTTCGAGTCATCGTAGTTCCTCAAGCATGTTCTCAGTTCTGGAAACGTCTTGGCTGGTTGAAAGCTCTCTTGCAACAAAAAATACTCATAGCTGTCAGGCAGCCCATTGATTGCCAAAGCATTGAACAGTGTGTCCGTGATTGCTTCTCCAGCTTCCTTCAACCGCTTCATCAGCTCTTGACTGCGAACGAAGTAGTCGTCCAGATTCTCCTCTGACCCTAGGCGCAACTTCACAAGCTGACCTACTAGACTGACCACCGTCGGCATCTCTACAATGCAAAACTTCTCTTGAAGCGACTTATTGAATTTGTCAACAACGAATCCTCGATCTAATAAATGAACTTATAGCGATTAGCGAAAACGAAAATTGTAATAATTTAGTCATAACAGGCGAAATAAACTTCGTACACGCAAATTGCGAGGCAAAGGACCCAAACGACTGCTACGAGCTGAATGTCCTTAATCTTCTCTCCGAAAATGACTCTAAGGAAGGTTTATCTCAAAACAATGAAAAACAATTAGATACATTTTTGACAAATAATCCAAATATCTTACTGAACTACACCACGCAAAACGAATTCAACAAGTCATACAGATCTGATTATTTAGCATACACTATAACAATTCACACTGGAAAGGAAGTAACCAATACAATACAAATGAACGGTTTGCGTTTCATAAAGCCGATTGGAATGCAATAAATAAAATTCTATTAGATAAACAATTTCTTCCGTACTGTTATAGTAATCTCGACGAGCTTGTGAATCAATGTTATAAATGGCTTTACAAGATCATTGAAGAAAATGTACCCAGAGTAACAAGCCACAGAAAGAATCTCCCCAATTGGGTGTCTAGTACCACATCACACCAAATAAAGTTATTTCCACATTAAAACGCAAAATTGAACAGAAAAACAGAAACAATCTAAGCGGCCTCACAAAACTAAAAAAGAAAGAAGCTCTGCTACGCAAAAGCTTAACAAAAGATCAAGCAGACTATGAAAAAAATTTTTTCATAGGGAAAAAGTTTTCTGAACGGCTAAAATATCTTCAATCAATCCACAAAGGCAGTCGTTTTCCTGACCTTATGTTTTTCGGAAACAATCAAGCTTAAAATTATAATGAAAAAAAATAAGCTTTCAATAATTTGTTCTGCAGTGTCTTATCAGAGATTATCAACTAAATGCAAATCAAAATTACGAAAACAATGTCCATAATAAAATAGTTATAACAAAAAAAAACAAATTGTCCAAATTCTCTCGAACCTTGATACCAGTAAGGCCTGTGGGCCTGACAACATCGGAAATCTTATCCTAAAAAGTTTGCCATCTCTATCAAAATCACTCTATCTTGTTTTCAAAACTGTCATAGCAAAAGGATTTTTCCCCATTTATTGGAAAATCAGTGAAGTAGTCCCAATTTTCAAGGACGCAAAAAAAACACAAATAAAGAATTACTGGCCAAGAAGCCTTCTTTGCAATGTATCAAAAATACTAGAGAAACTTATCTTTGATGAATTTTATAATCTAATCAACAAACACTTGCATGAAGCCCAACACGGTTTTTGTAAAATGTGATCGGTGATGACTCAACTTCTACAATTTCTTGACCATCTGTACCAAAAATATGACCTTTCAACTGAAACGGAACTTTATGTTCTCTACCGAGATTTTCGTAAAGCATTTGACAGCGATCCTCACCAAAAATTATTTGATAAAATACAACAATTTGGAATTGGCGGAAACTTCGTGAAACTCATTGCAAGTTACTTAACAAACAGGGGACAATATGTGAAAATAAATGATAAACGCTCCCCAACAGCATCAGTAACTAGTGGTGTGCCACAGGGGTCAATCATTGGACCCCTAATGATTTACCAACTATAATTAAAAACAGAGAATCCTTTGGGTGTGCAGATGATTTCAAACTTGTAATTACTGACCCTTATACTCTACAAGAAGACATAAATCGAATCGAAAAATGGTGCTCAGACAACGAAATGAAGCTCAATAGTGATAAATGCTATATACTACCAATCAAAACGAAATTCGAAATTGATAATTTGACGCTAAATACCAATCGCCTAAGTTGTAAAAAAGAACAAAAAGCTCTAGTTATTATAATGGCGAAGAACTTAAATTGGAAAGCAAATTGTGATAAAAGATATTCCAAAGCCTGGAGAGCTTTCTATTTTCTAAAATGCAACGTATCGAAACTTGCAAACAAATATATAAAATTGAACGCATACAAGGGGTATGGAGTCCCTGTATAAGCATACGCATCTCAGGCATGGTCAACAAACAAAGGTGAAATGAGGGATATCGAAAAAATCCAAATAGGGCCACCTCATGGCTACTTGGTATATGGGAAATTTACAAAAATAGATTAAAACAGCTAGAAATCCTGCCTATATCTATGTACTTTGAACTACACCATGCCCTACTCTTACTATCCATCATGCAAGGAAACTATAATATCAGAAATCCCCTATCAATAAAGAACAACCCTGGAAATGACGTCAAAACAAAACAAACCAGCGGTAATCAAATATATATTGAAAAACAAGAACAAAAAAAAACCGATGAAAACTTCTGGAAGAGATCTAGCAGACTGTTAAACATCTTTACGAAGAAAACAAACTACGAGATTGGCGAGCTGACGAAGCCGGTTTTAACAAAAATCTACTGGACATTTTTTGAACAAGATAGTGAAATAAACTCATGCACATGGAGAATCATCTGCAATTGTGGCAATTGCAATCCTATGCAGAAAAAATAAATGACCAAAACTGTGGGGTGCAAATCCTTGAGCCAGTAGCTCTAAAGACTGACCTACTACTACTACTACTACTACTACTACTACTACTACTACTACTACTACTACTACTTCGTCCCATCGCCATAGCCACCGGTTTCCCCGCAGTCGTTCTTTATGTACGTCAAAGTGGCGTTGTTGAGCACCAGAGCCAGGTGGGACCGCATAGAGTTTCGATTGTCTTTCCTCTGCTGGATCAACGCTGCTCGCTCCTGCATCTTGGTATCGTAGGCTGCCTGCTGATCAGCATTCGGACTCTCCGGGAGAATAGTCTCAGCCTCTGGCAGATCATCATTGCCCATCACTGTCCTGAACAGGCCCCTAGTGTGCATTAGCGCCACAAACTTCGTCAACCAAGCAGGAAAATCTTCAGGATTTCCACTAAAAGCCGCCAGTTTCCAGTCCATCATTGCTTAAGGCTGCTAGCTATAAGCTATAAGCTCTGTCAAAAAAACACAAGAAAAAAATCAGAAATCTGAGCCCATAACCTGTTAAGATTGAGAGTTAGAGCAACTAGGATTAAGAGATGGGGTTAGAGACTGAGATAGAATCTGACGTTTGAACTGTGAATTGAGAAGAGGTAGTGATTGTAGAAGAATGAATTGAAAAAAGTGAATATAAATGACATGACAAACTAAGCATCACAAAAGTACCAGTTAATTAATTACTGACTAATTAATTAGTTTGAGATCACTAGTTGACCCTGTCTGAGTTTAATCAGTATTAACTACGATTAAATTAATCTGTCTGACCTTGAGATGGTCTGACCTCAACAGAATTTGACTGCTGTTAAATACCTAAAGAAATGTGTTTTCAATAAATTTCCTTTTATAAAACTGTTAATTTTGCATAAATCTAGGCCATGCTCAGAGTTTTTTTCCTGATTGATTCACGGGGAGGGGACAATATGTGAACATTGTACGATTGATCATACAAATGTTGGTTTTCTATCCATCATCCTCATAAAATCAGTACAATGAACTATATGAATCAGCTTTTAGCTATCCATAACTTCCGATTCCTCAATTTTCCTTCAATTTTTCCGGGCAACCAAATGACATACCTGTGCAGAAGATTCCGTCACCTTCGAACCCCGGAGGACAATGACAGGAGAAGTCGCGAGGGCCATCTGCAAGACAAGTGGCTGTCGGGGCACAATTATGGGCTCCACTGGTGCAAGCGTCTAAACCTTTTGGAACAGAAATTAAATTTTGTAAATCTAAAAAAAAAGTCTTTTGCAAATCAAATTAAAAATATTTGTTCGCGGTGGCCCGAGTTCCCCAGCCAGGGGAACACGGTGGAGTTCCTGCCAAGATTTTAAGGGGGTGCAAGGCAGTCTTAAATTTCATGGCAGGAGTGTTTCAGGAACCCTGCCAGGAGATATATTTCTGATATATAAACCTTTGAAAAACGCACTTAAATTCTATACTTCGCTTAGTAGCCGATCGACGAAAAACTTGAATAGTTCAATTGGTGTACTATGAAAAAAAGTCCAGAAAAACTAGGCCTAGACTACTGCTAAAGTACCTTTAGGAAATCCCAGTGATTTTACAGAAATTCTGAATCAAAAAAAATTACACTGTCGCGAACTAACTTTTTCCAAAATAAACCTTCATCTGCCAAAAAACTGCACACTTTTTAACGTATTATTTTCAAAAGTTATTGTAGTCTTGATATCAAATTCAAAAAGCTATTTCACCTGTGATCGTTTTTTGTAAGGTTATAGGGTTTAAAAATTGCCAATTTGGCCAATTTGGCCAATTTGACCAATTTGGGACAATAAACGCTCGATATAATTCGTGCTTTTAACGAGTAAGCGGAGGTTTATTCTGCCTTAGAAAAATTGGATTGATTGGATTGAGGCATGCACATTGGTATATTCAATACTTTGCTATATGCAAAATATATCACTTTGAACATTACATACCGTGTGGGATAATTTGAAAAAAAAAAATAAAAATAACGTTAAGCGAGATCGATGTGACTTGTGAATTTTTGCTACAAACTTTTAATTTTATGTATAAGTTAAGCAATTCAATTTATGCTAGCAATTTACAATTTTGGCTGCTAAAGTCCTCGAAAAAATTTGATCTCTGCCTTCAAATATCGCTTCTAGCACTCTCTAGAACCGGAGTTCCGTGGATATTGACGGAAAGTTGTTGTCTAAAATGTTGTCATTATAATCCATTATTGTGGCAAATTTAGACCACGAAATCGATTATATTGTCATTATAGTCGACTATTGTCGTAGGAAACAATCCATTAAAATCCATTATAATGGATTATAATCCATTCAAAATCCATTATTATTTATTAAAACTGATTATATTCTATACCATTTTTTGCAAAATCATTTGCAAAACTTGCAACATTTCTGCGTTACTCACGGCCTACTCGCAATCTAAACCTACTCGAATTAACCCCACCCCCCATCAGCTTTTTCCCAAACCCCCTCCTTCAATCCCCTAAATTTATGCCTACGCCCACCCCTATGTTTACTAAAGTTTATCCCTACCCCCCCCCCCCCCCCAAGTTTACAATTTACACCCCAGCCCCCCCCCCGTTTGTTTACTATTTTGAACGTGGACGGGGGAGGAAGTAGACTCAGATGTTCAGGTTACCCTCCCCCCTTATTTTTATCCCCCCTCCCGACCCAACGTTCAGTAAACAGGGGGGGGGGGTTAAACTAAGATGAAGGAGGGTTAAATCGACGAGGGTTAATTTTGGGAAGGGAGTAAAAAAAACCCTCTCCCAAATTCTACCCCAATAAATAACTGCCCATCAAGGGGGGGGGGCGAATAGAGGTTGTGGTAAACTGGTAGGGAGGTGGGAGGTGGGAGGGGGGAGTAAACGGGGGGGGGGGTGTAAATAGGGGAGGGGGTAAACAAGGGGGAGGGGGTAAACAGGGAGGGGGTAAACGGGGTATATAAGACCAAAATTATTATAAAAACTGAAAAGTGAAATGTAACATTTTCTGAAATCTAATATGTAGCAACTGCACTAAACAGGAAAAGCAATAACTTTGAGAAAAAGTGGTAAATTTCATGACTAGCCTCTCGAAAAAATCCAATATAGTTGATTATAACCGATTAAAAGGGATTATATTGGCATAAGAAATATAAGAAATATCATCCATTTTTTATGAATTAATATCGTTTATAATGGATTACATTAATTTTAAAAATAATGGATTATAATCCATTTTTTTATGGATTATAATCAATTGTTTTTGTAATTTCATAGATACTGACTATAAAATGACAATGTAATTGATTAATATCCATGGAACTCCAGTGCGGGCTACGCTTGGGCTTATAGTTGATTTTCTACTCGGCCGAAAATGATTTGCTAGCTTGAATTGTCAATTGTGCTATGCAATTGAGATTCTTTCTTAATCAGTTTGTATTTTTCATGTTTTTTTTCTGTCGTTCGGTTTTTCCGCGATGAACATGATTTTGGAAGGAAATGCGTCCAACTTTTTCACAAAAGTGGAAGTCAAAAAATGAAAAAAAAATTTTGCATTGCGCAAACAACAAGTATCAACACCGTTCGTATATCGGGGCAAAGCCCTAAATGTTCCGACTCCTTGACTGGTCGCAAATATTCATTACGAGGCCAAACCGTGCTTTCTGTGCATTGTAATTAGATTCCGCAACAGGCCAAAATCGAACTTGTCGCGGAATCTGCAATTTGGCTAATTTTCTTTGATTTTCTTTGCTGTTTTCGATTCCAGAAACAAACACCTAAAACACTGTACCGCTCAAAATTGCTCCAACAATAGGCAATTTTGCGGAATCCGCAACCGTATTTGCGGAATCCAGAGCAATTTGTGGAACCCACAAACGAATAGTAAGACATTTTTATAGTTTAACTGAGCTGTTGCAGATTCCACCACTGTAGACGGAACCCGCAAATTGTAAGTGGGTTCCACCAGTTGTAAGTGGAATCAGCAAAATGTAAGTAGAATTCGCATTTTGTTTGCGGATTCCGTTTACATATATGTATATGTAAAGCAAAGCGTTTAAAATTATATGTTTTAATCAATGGCCACCAAAAAAATCAATCTGAATTACTAAATTGATCTACTACCAGTTGAAATACCAAACGTTTGGTCTCAATTCATGTCAACCCAACTTCGATCTCAAATCCTGTCAACTTCGATCTCGACTTCGATCTCAATTCATTAGAATCGGAATTTACTAGATCATCCAATTTTGGGATTGATGGAAACCCAAATACTGACGTAAATCGGCGATATGCTGTGCATTGTGTTTCCAAACAATCTCAAGCCAATCACTAGAAACATTGAATTTATTCGTATTCGGCGTTAAGCTTCCAAAATCAGTACTTGGGATTGACGCAATCACAAATACTGACTTAAATTGGCGATATGCTGTGTTTTGTATTTCCATACACTCTCAACCCAATGACTACAAATTTTAAATTTATTCGGCGTTATGCTTCCAAAATAAGTATTTGGGAGTTGTATTTCCAGAATACTAAAAGGTGATATCCACAAATTCAGTTAAAAAATGTTTTGAGATTTGTGCGCGGGATTCCGCTCAGAATGATTAAGTCCTTGTCTTTAAGTTTCATATTCCTATAGATATGAATTCGAGCGCTAGCTTTTAATTGTTCATATGCGAATTCAGAAAAATTATTATTCTGAATCCACTTACAGTTTGCGGAAACCGCTTACATTTGCGGGTTCCGCTGACAATTTTTGCGGAATCTACTTATATTTGCGGAGTCCACTAACATTTTGTGGAATCTACTTACAGCTGTGGAGTCCAGAACAACTAGCTATATTCACTTGTTGCGGAATCTGCGGCACAACAAATGTGCCGACAAAATTTACGTTACAGGTATTTGTACGCGGAATCATTAGACTAAAAATTTTGAACTGCTGTTATCAAATGCAAGTGCTAACTTGTGAGTAGAAATAATGTTCCGACCTTCGACGAAAACGGAATATTTATGTTTGGTGTGGTTTTTTATACAGTCAATTTTTGGCGATCGGAGTAACAGTTTTCAATAAACAATTTTATGACCCCTTGAAGATATTGACTTTTTGAAGTAACATAACAAAAGATATGTTACCTTCGGTCTTTTTATGCAAAATTTTGGGAGGTTGAAAATATCCGATGTGGCCAAACGCTCTGCATTAATTTATGCTAGATTTCAAGATTTTAATCATAATGCTGAAAGCGAAAAGCGCAGTCTTTATGCGTGGTGGACTATCCCGCTGAACAAAAATTGTTTCAAAGTGAAAATAGGCTAGCTCTCAATTGATTGTAGTTTTCACACTTGACAATAAACAATTCGCGTTTTAAAACTATCAAAAAAACGCGTTAAGCTTTGTGCGCGGGATTCCGCTCAGAATGATTAAGTCCTTGTCTTTAAGTTGTGTTTCCGTTTACAATTTAGTAATGCAAATTATTCGAGCAGCAATGCTATCGGCGATCGATGTCCATGCGCTGTAACTTTTTGTAAAATCGGTCTGAATTATTAAAAACCCACCTCACTTTCCTAACTTTCCTCCCATATTCCTCACTTTTTGCGAAAAACGGAAGAAAAATTTCTACGGTAAAAATTGACCTAAAATTCTGAGCAAAACATGGGATCACGCTGAAATTTGATTGGCTTGACGTTAAACTAGTAATTTTTTAAATTTTTGGGATCAAGTTACATCCGCCCCCCTTCTTCCCACCCTTAGATAGACCAAGTTAAGATCTTCCACCCCAGCCTTTAATTCGCGTTAAGTTTGTTACAAGCGCTGCATGTAAAATGCTCAATTCTGATTGGTTGAAAACTTCTAACTTAGAACCAGTTAACATCCCCCCAAAGGTCTCTGGGGGAGGGGGAGGATGATGTTAGCTTGGTATATTTTTTGGGCTGAATAAATAAAAACACCCGAATGTTTCTATCGCCCTTTGCTTTTCTGGGCTATTTTCAATAAAAAAAACTAGATGAAGCTATAAGTTTTGATTATTCGCTATTTTGATTGATTTTCAGCCCAGCCCTCTACAGCCAATATTAAGTGTTAAGAATTACAAGAATCTGGAAAATGCTACTATGCAATTTTACTTAGATACCCGCACCGAGCGCCCAGGGTTCATAATCGATTATATTGACATTTTCTAGTCAGTATTTACAAAGTTACAAAATGTTTCTTTTTACCAAAACCGCTATTCATCCAACCCTCAACTCACGCTGAAGTTGGTTGGGGCTAATGGTTGAACGTGAGAGGGGGGCTTAAGAGTTGATTCCAATAGTTGAACTCCGCTTCTTTTACCACCCCCAACCCGCCGCATTTTTATCCCTTCCTTCCCCTACGTTTCATGAACATGAGGGGGAGATTTTTACTGGTGGTAAACTGGGGGGAGTTTACCGTATACTGTAGGAGTGGTGTGGAAAGTTTTCTGCAAATAATTGAATTTAAATTCAGTAAGAAAATGGATTATAATTGATTAAAATATTTTATAATATATTTTTATATTTTAAGACAATCGAACAATAGATTATCTTGACAAAAATTATCGATTACAGCAAAAACAATTCTAGTAAAAACATCGATCATAGCAAAAACATCGGTTATACCAAAAACACTTATACCCTTTTATACCCACATCGGTTATACTCTTTATTGGTACTTTTTATGAAACCGATTTTTGGCCGACAGCCCCTAAAATTTTTCTAAGTTTAAGGGGAAGCGCGCGCAAAAAAAAACGATTTTTTTTTGTCAACATTTTCCAAAATGCCCAAAAACGGAAAATCAATTTGGTCGGCCTAAAAAAAAGGTCGTCAAAATTTTCGAAAATTTTTTGAAAATCCGCCCACCCCCCTTCCCTTCGAGGAGAAAATCCTAGCTAGATCCGCCACTGTACATGGGCATGCTAATCGACACTCATGCTAGGTTGCAAAAATTTAATGAGCAGATATGCAATAGAAAAAAAAACAAACAACAAAAAGACGGAACAACATTTTTTTATTGAAACAAAAAGAGAATAGAGATGGATGACTCACCTTGCGCGTCTTCCACTGCCGCCAGAACAACTGAAACAAAAATCACGGTACGTTTTCTGACTTTTAGTTTGAAATTTTTGGAGGTTAAACTTGGAGGTTTAATTTTTAGTTTGAAATTTTTCAAATGATTGTATTGTTCTTCAAAAATCAAAAAGTATTTGAAATGGCTTGAAATAAAAGTTTTACATCCAAGATGTCTCCCTGGTATAGGCAATTTTTATTACTTGTAATAATAACGCAAAAAACATGTTTTCAAAATAAAAAGCACTGAGTCGAATGTAATTACCAATTTTCTTCTAAATAGGAAGAAATTAAAGCACGCCAACAACTCAAAATCTGTTTTGCGCATTTTTTACGCTATTGAGAAGCAATTTGAGGATGAAATATTTACATTGGGAAAAACTAAGAAAAAATCTATAGGTTGAATATTGGAAGAGTTTGATAAAATGACCGTCCTACATAGCCGAACAGAACTTAAGATGGAACCTTTTCCGTTTCATTTCTGAGTTATAGATTTCATACAAGCTCGCAGTTTATAACTACTTGAAAAAATTACATAAATTTGCAGTTTTCGAAAAAAATCATGCAATTTTCAAAAAATTGTTGAATCAATTTTAAAATTGATTATCGATCATTGGTTCTGACAGCTCGGTTATATAATAATCTCCTAAATATTGTTTTTTTTTATATATATCTATTCTATTTGGGAAGTTGGAGGAGGTTGTTCGGTTGATTTGTCCATTCATATTTTAAAATTAATTACGATTATATTCTGATACTCTTAGTTTTAGTTTTTGCAAAACTAATTGAAGGAAAGTAATCATTTTAATTTCTATGAAAAGTTCTGTGTTCATAGTTGTTCTGACCGTTTGGAAATGGGGAGAAATGTTGTATTCAGGTGGTTTTTAGTTTTTTGTTTTGATCATTTAAAAATTTGGAAGGAATTTTGAGTTAGGGTAATTCAGTTTTTTTTCTTTTTTTTCTTTTTACCCAATTAATCATCGAAGAGAGTTGAGTGTTTTATCATTTCAAAGCTTTTTTAGTCGTGATTCCAACAACATTATAAAATTTTCAAAATTTTTTTCAGTGTCGAGAAAAACTGCTTAATTTTTTTTTGATTTTTTGACTACTTTCAGGCTAAAAAGAAGAGCGTGCATGTTAAAAAAAAATAAGCGAGCAGGCTTATAATAGTTTATTTTAATGGCTTCAAAGCTTACATTTTTTTAATTTAAGATGTAAAAACTTAGTTTTAATAGAAATTAAATATTATTGCGTTTTTTTAAACGAAAAAACATCCTATGTTTTTTTTAGAAAAAAAACAGCAAAAATCAAAAAAAAAGAATTTAGAAAATTTGATCTTTTTTTTGTTTTTCTGCATAAAAATTTTGATTTTTTGTTTGTTTTTCTTGTCATTTTATCACGAAACTTGTATTCTAACTGGTTTATTTACTTTGATTGTCAAATATACCTTATTTTTAGTTTTGCTTTTTGTTCAGATGTTTTCATCACACCTCACAACAAAAAACACGACTATAAATGAAAAAAAATTTTGTTTTTTTTTTGTTTTTTTTTGCTATCCTTTTTTTTGTTTGCCATTCAAAATCAGGTACCACAAACAGTCATCACAGAGGATCGAATCATATATGATGCTAATCTTTTTTTGTCGTGATTCAAAGGATATTAAGAAAAAATATATATTCCCAGTGTCGAGAAGCACTCGTTTGAAATTTTTGATATTTAGTCTAATTTTAAGCTAATAATAAGAGCGTACATGCTTAAAGTAATTAGCTGATTCTCGCTATACTTAAGACATGAACACTTAATTTTACTTGAGAAAAGTTAGTTTTTAGCGCCAATTAGGAAATCAAAAACTTCAAACATCAAAAAAAGTCAACAAAAAAATAGAAAGAGTTTTTAAAAACTTTTTTGAGTTTTAAAAAAAAAATGTTCGCTTAAAAAACCTGTTTCTCAATTAGTTTTTTTTCTATAATTGTCAATTATTCCTAATTTCTTCGTTCAGATCTGTTTATCCATCACTTAGAAAAATTTATTTTTAAGACTATCGTCGGAACATTCTGTGGTACTTGCAAAGTAACCAGCTTCACTTGCTTTTTGTTTTAAATCAGCTCAATTTGACCTCCACTTGTTGATAGTACCAAAATTTGTATTTTTTCCGCATAATGCAAACCGGTATTTTGTCCGCATTTTGTCCGCACAAAATTAAAACTGCACCTGCACTGAAGTTGTTGTGATAAAAATCAAGTATAATATTCTTTGCTGAATCTCAAAAATTATAGAATATGGTTGATGAAAATGAGTTATAGCAATAATCCATTTCGAACAACAACCAATTTTTTATTTTTACAACCATTATACACCATTAATTAATCAGACTTTGAAAAAATATATATTTTGCGTGGGTGATTTTTGTTCAGCCAATTTTCGACTTCTTGTCTAAGTATTTATTTGCCCTTAATGTTTAGATAGGAGACGCTAAATACATCTCTTTGTAGTTTAAATTTAACTACAATTCAAATCTTTGTAGTTCAAATTGCAGTTTAAACTATTATGATTGGCCTCAACGTGTTGTCTAAACATTCATAGCTGTGCCTTAAAATACGACCAATCTTGTTGTTCCGACTTTCGATACAAAAGTAACGGAATATTTGTGCTCGGGGTGGGTTTTTTTTTCTTAAGACAAGTTTCGACTTTCAAACTAGCCATTTTTGACGGAATTTTTTACAATCATTCAAACGGTATTGTTGTCTTGAGCTTATTTGTGAAAAGATATTTCACCTGTGACTATTTTTCGTAAAGTTATGGGGGGTTTAAAGATTGCCATTTTGGCCAATTTCGGACAATTAACGCGCAATATATTTCGCGCTATTAATGCGTAAGCGGAGTTTTAATTCGTCTTAGAAATCTTTCCAAATTGGTTGTAGGAAGCTTATTTGCCATAGTTGATTTGTTACAAGCAGCGAAATCTATCCTTTTGTACTTTATATGGTGTGGGTGGATGATTTTCAAAAAGAATCATTTTTTCTTTTTATTTTTTTTTAAATTTATTGTTTTTAATGTTATTACTGCTCCATAAACCTTAAAAGGCAGTTGGAAAATTCAGGGCTTCGCCTGGTACGAGCAGTCTTGTTTTAGTTAAATTCAAACTTTTTTTGCAAGTAACAATCCAATTTTAGTAAAATATAAAAAAAATTTAAAATTTATTCTTTTTTGTTGCTTTTTTGAGTGCTATTTTCTCTTTGTTTATAATAATTTCGGTTACTTGCTATGGACACTTGCTGTTCCACTCATTTTCACATTTCTGCTTCAATTTATGTCTAAAACTCAGTCACTTGAATATTAGATTTCAAGTTAATGTTAAATCTCCCCCTACCCTGCGCATTCAGTCACCCCGTCAAGAAAAACCATATTAATTGATTTATGCCGATGAAGCCTCGGTGCGGAAATTTTTGCGTCCATGCAATAACATTATGAACAAATCAATCATATAAAATACTTACACGATTTATATTTGTAATGAGTGAACAAAAACTTTGTTTTGAAAAAAAAGTGTTTGCATAACTTTTCGCAAGCAGTTTATTTTGGTATTTAAGTAAATAAAATTGAATACTGCAAAAAAATGCACTCAAAATTCAAATTCAGTTGTTTGATCGGAATTTATGCTTATTATCATTTTTATAAAAAAGGTTTCTCAAATCCGAATTTTTTAAACTTCCATCAAAGATCTGAAGTAACAAATTTCAGATCTGAGAATGAATTTATGTAAAAACAAAAAAGTTCAGATCTTGTATAGAAAATCAACTCGGTACAACTTTGTCTGATAAGCTCTCCCCCTCTATCCGACATATTTATCAAAGATGATCAAGGTTACCTAGACTGTGAAATTTTTTGAATTAACAGCTAATTTTTAAAGAATTTTTGCGGACGTCTTAAAGTTTTAAACAAATTAAATAGTTTTAAATAAGACCCTGAAGCTATTGCTAGTTTCGTGCGTGCTTTCTTGTGGTAGATCGTTTTTGAGTGATAACTTATTTGAAGTTATGGCCCTCGCAATTCTTTCGCATAGCGCTTTTGACAGCTTCAGATGCATATTTGAAATTCTGTAAGGCATTTTCAGAGCCTCAAAAGGTCGGAATTATTTTAAAATGTAAGACGCTCGCTGTCCAATGAAACTGTTTAAAAAATGTAGCTTACTGCTGTACGAGTAAACAACGTCTCGAAGTTTTTCGTTCCTTTCGAATGACACCAGAGTTTCGTCGTTCTTGAAACATTCGCATCTTGAAGATCGCTGATTGAATTTGTTCACACGGCCAGCCCATCGGCCAACTTTTTGTTCACAAAAGTGATTGCAAGAAACAGCAGAGTCGCAATGAGTCAGAAAATTTGGTCTGGACAAGTGCGGGTTCGATTTTTGTAAGTTCTTCCTAGTTTGAAGCATTGACGTCGATTCGGAAAACCCAACAAAAATTGCCCATACAATCACAAGACAGGGAAGAAAAATCATTTAAATGCTTGAAAAATACTAGAACAAAATTACAAATGATAGATAATTAGATTAAAATGGCCGGAGTATGCATCTGGTTTTTATTTTTGTTAAGTCGTTGTTCAAGAGGAAACTTCAGCGTAGCAGATGTGCTGAAAATTGTGAACATCTGCACAAGATGAGAGGCATAATTTTCAACGCTTAAGATTTGCTAGGCGCCTAAAAACCGCCTTCTCAACAATAATTAACAAACTGAAGTTTTCTGAAAGTACAATCAAGCAGTTTCGAATTTGTTCAACATATGAGCTAACTTCCAGATTAAAGGGAGCTACAAAAACGCTTTGGTAAAAAGCGGTATCAAAAACTCGTAAAGTGGCTGAAACGAAGCCTTTCGAAAGCACTTTAAAGCCATTTTGGTGGGTTTTGACCCCAAGCATGAGAAACGATTAACCAAATCTCGAGATATGGTTACTCGTTGTGAAATGTTTTCTCCCGTATCACTACAACACAGTTTTTTTGGCCTGGAAAACACCCTTAGACAAAGTTGATGGTCGAAAGAAAAAAACCCTTAGAAAAAAATATTAATTAGAAGTTTCGATTTACCGAAGATGTTTTTGTGAATTCTCTTTTAACAGTCATCTTTAAAATGTAAAATCTTGAATATTGATATTTGAAAGACTGAAAGTAAACCGAACGTCAGTTTCTGCCACTACTATTCGGCCTGACACCCAGAGCACTAAATTTGTTACTTGGGTTAATCTAAGTATGCTTCAACTAACCATCTCTAACCCTTTTGTCTTGTTCGATTAAGAAACAAGAACAAAGAAAAATTCGACAAAAAGACAAAAACGATGAATTTTTTTTGAATATCCAGAGCTCTGATTCATCTCCGAAGTTTGCTAACACTTCGGATGAGTGATATTGAGAAACCCATTCGATTATATAATTGATCAAATTTATTGGGAGTACACGACTATAAATTAGCAAAACTGCTCGTATTGAGAAAAATCTCCGAATAATCTACTTTTGCGGCGACTGAGACAAAAATGTTTAGAAATTCGATAAAACTTTTGAGTTAAATGATTTTGAAAAAAGACTCAGTTTTTTTGTTTCTTGAAAAGCTTCCACCTCGCCGCATGTTATTTTCCCCATGATTTTTTTGACAAAAAATTCATTCAATAAGCGTGCTTCAATTTATTTCAGAATGATTTTTAGCAAGGAGTAACTGTCCGCATGTGCTACGTGTTAATAGAAAACAGGAAAATTCACGCTCTTTAATTGCCCCAAATTCAAAAAATTAACCTTTTTAAACCCCCTCACACACAAAGGAAAAAAGTTTTCGAATTTGAGTTGAAGTCATCGGTATTTTTCACAGGGCAGAACAAAATTCTGTCATTAACACTTAAAGTAAAGAGTCAAAAGTGGTCTGACTAAAAATTACCCCAATAGTAAAAAAAAATCTTCACTTTCATTGCAAGTCGGAACAAGAAACGCACTCAAGACCTCGACCAGGGATATAGTTTAATTTTTGGGAGCCCTTTTTAACATTTTGCTTCTATTAATAATGAAGAATCAGTAAGGAACGACACATTTTTCCGCAAAGACGAGCGTCTAAGTTAGCTATGCTTACTGCAGTTGTTGTTCCGACTAAGGAAAATGACAAAGCAATTAAGTTTTGGATAGTTTCTTTGTCCAAGCAACTCGCAGCTTATTAACTAGAATCTTTTGACGGATTTGTTTTTGCAAAAATCTGAAATATGTTGACAAACTGAGCTCGAAATTAATAAAAACTGATTCTATCAGTTCAACGACAAAATTCTAAATGTTGCGACGGTAGTTCATTAAAAAACGATCAAATTTTTAAAAGAAAAAAACTTAAAGTTTTTACAGTTTTTTTGATAATCAATCCCCCTTCCACTATGCAAAGAATAAAGTCATATAACTTGCATATAGCAAAATTTTGTATAGACCAATTGTGATTTAATTCAATTTGGACCAAATTCTAAGACGGATCAATTCTCAGCTTACTCGTTAATCGTATGAAATATACCCCCCTTTAGTTGTCCCAAGTTGGCCAAACTTGCAATCGTTAAGCCTCTACAGCTTTAGAAAAACTAATTGCAGGAGAACAACTTTTTAAGTTTGAGCTAAAGACAACAATACCTTCCGATTGATGTGAGAAAATTCTGTCAAATTTCGGGGAAAAAAAAACGAAATTGGCTTTGAGAAATATTCCTTGACCCTTCGAAAGTCTGACAAAAAAGTTTTAGATAATACTTTATCCGTTGATGAAATCTGCCAAACTAGCCAAAATTGTAATAATGTGCAGTGTTCGCGGCGAATCATTCAGCTCAGAAATCTGCTCAATTATTTTTAAAGCGCGCTATTTTTATCCAGGCCCAAGTTTTTGACCACCTCAACCCATTTTCTTTTTTCTTTGGCTGGTTAAAAACATATTGACAGAGATGAGCTATGGAAAAAAATATATATTTGTGTTCATTCAAGTGACACGTTTAGACCGAGCTGGATCAACGAAAATTCGACAGAAGTAATAATAGAACAACCTTTTCCTTTGAATGTGGCATCTCTAAAACTTAACTTGTTGTTCCGACTTTTGTAACAAAAGTATGGGACTATTTAAGCTCGGGTGATTTTTTTTTCTTCAGACAATTTTTGACTTTTTAACTAGCCATTTTTGGCATAATTTCTTAAATATCATTCAAAAGGTATTGTTGTCCTGATTTTAAATTTGAAATAACTTTTCACCGGTGATCTTTTTTCGTAAAATCATGGGGGTTTAAAGAGGGATATTTAAACTGCCTTGATTTTGGAGAGATATAATCCGTCTTAATAATCGTTCCAAATTGTTTCAAAAAAGCATATTTGCTGATTGATTTGTTACTAGGAGCAAAATCTAACACTTTGTTTTTTATATGGCATGTTGGAAGATGATTTTAACAGTAAATCTCAAATTAAAAAAAGTATTTTTGTTTCATTACATCAAATTTCCTCATGTTATTACAGCTCCATACAATTTAAAAGGCAATCTGAACATTCAGGGCTTCGCCATGATAGGAGCAGTCTTGTTCGTTTTTATCACCAAGCCGTTACTGAGCAGTGTTCAAAGCTTATGCTGCTTCCGTGGCTTATGCTTGTATGTAAACTATTACTGCTTTCGTCTGTATTTTGACTCTTAAGCTCAGTTCGACTTTGACTTTGACACTTCCTGAACAACTCAATTTCACGTTTCGACTTTTATGATTACGGCCTAGCAGCGGACCTATTGATTTGGTTCACTTTTGCCATCGCGGACGATTCATTTACATTTGCATTTAAATTAGCCTGAGGCATTTCTGACTGCGATTTGGTTTTGAACAACACTATTAACTATCACTTTGGGCTATTAACTACTGGAATTGACAGAAGATTATGGCGTTGGTTTTTGACTAGTTAGACTAAATAACAACATACTTGGGAAAGAAAAATTTGAACAAAACATAAGACACAAAAGAGGGAAAAAACTATCAAAAGCAATTGTCAAAAATTAAGGCCACAAACGAGAAAATCAGCAAGGATAAGAGCTCTGTGAAATTAAATTTTAGTATGCCGGTACACAATCGGAACTCGCAAGTGTTAGAAGCAAAATATACGGGTCTTCAGATAAAAGTGACAGATATGTATCTCCAGATAGAAAGTCAGTCTTATTCGACGAAGTAGATCCAGAAAGGTCCTACACAAAGGACTGGTTCAAATCAATAAACCAAACAGATGAACAGAAGCACGGTCAAACGCAAGGTTCAAATTGGTAATTCAAGTATATCACATGAAGAGCGATCTCATGACATATACTCAGAAGAACTAAACGCAAATTTTACCAAAACCTAGCGTACCAAAGGTAAAGCTAAAAAGATTTGCCGTTGATCCTCTGGAATGGCCAGAACGGTCAGGATTATTCACAGCAACAGTGCTTAATGCAAACATAACAAAAGGCAAAAAAATGTATTTTCTGAAAAATTATCTATCTGACAACGCCAAACAAATTCTGACAGGACTCAGTTATGATGACAACCAATATGAACATGCAGAGAAACTGTTGTCCACGCATTACCGTCAACCACATATCATAAAAAATTCTCAACTAAAGCTGGTGCAGAACTTTCCAATTGTAAGGAAACACGATTCGCATCAAACATCGAAATCTGCAGGCGTAGTGAGTACATTTGTAAGCATTTTGATAAGTTTTGGATTCAAAATGATCTGAAATCAACTTCAAATATGAACATAATTTTGAGCAAGTTTCCACCAGATCTCAAAGATTGGTTGAGCTAATTGGCCTTAGTGCACGATCAATTAATTGCAAATCAAAGTCATGAACCTAGAGGAGCAATTGAAACGCGGAAATTAAAAAACGCGCACCAAACAAACGCCAGAACCTATGTTACAGAAAACAAGAGTCAAGACCTCAAAAACAAGAGCAAACATCGTTGCTTGTGTTGCAGCAAAGGGATAGACAAACTCTGGAACTACGCGGACTTCAAGATGATAAATAAAAAACAACGATATGATGTCGTGAAGAATCAAAAATTGTGCTTTGGATGTTTGGGTGTAGCAAATAGCATGAAAGACTGTAAAGTCAGTCCATTTGGAATAAATGGATGTGACAGAAAGCACAACCGACTATTGCATGAAAATAGATCCGAAAGAAGACCAATACACCAAGATTTAACCAACTCTTATAGTGTGCCATTCAGCTGTGGCTTGCAACCGATGATAAGAGTACAACTAAACTAACTAATGCAAGGACAGGCAAAGCAATGGAGCCTTGGGCAATTTAAGACACTGGAATCACAGTGGCACTAATAGACAAATCTCTTATAGAGTCGTTGAAATTAGATTCAAAAGACTGCAAAGGAGAATTGTCTGGATCTGACAGTTCAATAAGCATCACAGAAAGAGTAACAGTGAAGATATCCACTTAGAGTCTCAACCATGAAAACATCTTTTTTTTTGGTTCACACCAATTTGTCTGTTGGGTCAATGAACTACGATTATAGTGCCTACAAAAGAAGATATTCACACTTAGCAACTTTGCCAAACCAGAAA